GTCCTAGGTGACATTAGGGGTCTTGGAGACCCCTGATGTCTCCATAAAGAGGACCTGTCACATCTTTTGCTATCACATAAGGGGGTTTCTTAGCCCCCTATGTAATAGCAATAAAGTTAAGTGGGAAAAAAAATAGGAAACAAAATTAAAGATTGCATTTTTTATTTTAAAGTTACACATAAAAAAGAATTTAAGAAAAAACTTTTTTTTTTTAAAGTCCCCACCAATACATACACGCATGCAAACATGCATCGGGTGCGCATACCTGCGAAAATGACGATTGCGCCCATTACGCCGCACATGTTCCATATCGTCGCGAACGTCGCAGTGTGAGCAATAATTCTAGGGACATCATTAACTGATAACACTAAACTGATGAGCTGTAAAAGTTTTTAAAGCGTCGCCTATGGCCAATTTTGGGTATGGTGATTTTTTGCGAGTGCGCGCAATTTTTAAGCTTGACATGTTTGGTGTCTATTTACCCGACGTGACCCCGTCTTTTATGTTTTACCAAAAAATTGGGTGATAATAAATGTTTCCTAACATAATGTAAAAAAAACACTTTTTTTTGAAAATTTTCTGTAATTTTCCCCGAAATATAGGAAAAAAATAAAAACCGCAGTGGTGATTAAATAACACCAAAAGAAAGCTCTATCTATCCCCAATAAATTGTAAAAAATGAATTTCATTACAGCATTGCAGGATGGAATAAATGTCAATCAAAGTACCGCAGCGCTGAATACTGAAAAATGGCCTGGATGGGAAAGGGGTCTAAACACCTGGTCTTCAAGCAGTTAAAATAGGCCCAGCCGCCCTAAACAACATATAGCAATCAATCAGCCGCCCGACCGCCGCCGGGGTCCAGCGAGAGATCGTCATTCAGCCGGCCCCGCCTAGGTGTCAGGGAAGACACACAGGCAGTTCCGGAAGCTTGGCAGCTTCTGTGTTCGGCCTGCGCGACTGCGCCGAGGCAAACCAAATGCCTTGGTTCCTTTAGCAGCGTAACGCCATTGCAGCTGCGCCCCTCCAACTTTGGGTGCACGCCAGCACAGGCTCTTGTAGGGTGGCCAATAAGAAGAGAACTGGAATATGAAGTGATGCCATCTCCCTGCCTCTCCCAAAGCTGCATGCCGCTGCAGAGAGGTAAGACAGGGCAGTCTACATGCCCAATTCTTGTGATCAATAACAAATACTTGAGCTGTAGAAAATAATAAGAAATCATGCTAGTACATGTTCCAGGCTAAGAGAAATTAATTGTATTGAAAAAATATTTTGTTTATTAAAGAAGTTGTTAAAAATATTTATATATACCCTCTAAGTAAGGGCTTATTCACACCAGAGCAGCAGCTGCTGGAATGCACAGCAATTGCTCACAAACGTTCCCCCTTTGTTCTGGGACGGGAGGGGGCATGGCGGTGTGGCTCCACAGCCACGCTCCCCTGTTTTTTAAACTATGATCCGGCCCCCAGCAATGTCTGAGGGACAGTGAACTGGCCCCATGTTTAAAAAGTTTGAGGACCCCTGCCCTAAAATATCATTTTAAAGCCCACTAACACGAAAACCAACCCCTAGAGGATAACTATTAACACTTCCAGTGAATCCTATTATCAATATCAGCATTACTATAATTTTCTTTCATTTTTGTAATTCGCTTTTTCTTGATCTTCACTTCGAAGGAACACGTTTTCTTTTTGTCCAAATTAAATAATATTTTTGCCTTACACCATCCCAATGTATAACAGTGGGGGAGGCTTTACAGTGGTTTAACCACATTGAAGCTGGTTCACTGAGGACACCTATGAAGAAGCATATTCAAATAAAACCATAAAAGAATTTTGCAAATAACAGTCAGGTGTGAACATTGACTAGCAGAAGACATTTTCATCATAATCATGCCATATTCATATCTATGTAAAGTATGCTTTACATACTCACGTAAAGGTCCTTCAGTTACTCTGCTGCAGTAAAATAAATATATGTATATTTTTTTAGCATGTGGAAGAAAATGGCAAGCTTTTAGCTATAGCAATTTGTAGCAGTGAATTTCATAGTCAAGGAACTAGCAGCAATGATTGCTTGGTCCTGAATTGCTTTGAAGAAATTCTGTGTAAAAGAATGGCAAATTACATTTATTACCTACAACTACGACAAATGCAAGTTGAATACATGCTGAATATTCATTCAAACATCTGTCATTATGGACAGTTTTCAAGAACAGAAGTCATTTTGTTTTTCCCTTTTATGTGTTCACTGTGAACTACATGTATTGTGTTCTTTAATAAAAAAAATAGAACAAATACGGCACAGCTGCTTCACAGCACCAATAATTTATGGTCATTATCCTTACCAGATATGGCGTAATGACCATTGCATAAGTAAAACCAAAAAGATTTATTTATAAATACTGATACAAAATTGTATAAAAGAAATCATCAAGACATGGTAAAATTCCCCCATATTATCCTTAATATGCCGCCAGAGAATATACAGGAATGCCTGGAGTATCATATGTATCATATGAGAGATTTGCAAATGTCCCACACTGTGGTAATTCTGGCTGGCTTGCTTATCAAGTGTTTATCCCGATCTGTTTCACTATTTGCGCTTCCCCAGGGGACCAAAGGTAACTAGTCAAGCATCTAGTGCTTAGGGGGGGCCCAGGGGTTCTAGGATACAGAGCCGGATGCAAGACATTCCCTCTCTTCTCCAATCCGATCTATGGCGTGGACACTGGAATCAGGATTCACAGGGCATTATGCTGTCATTTTCTTCTAAATTTGTACAGTGCAATCTAAAAAGGAACCTAGGTGGGGGAAAGAGGTGGATGAGTGATTCCCTGCCTCATTCAGCTGTGTGCTATAAATTGGAGTTTTAGCTACTAAGCTTGGTAAACCATCTTTTTTTTAACATATCAGATAAGAATAGGCAGCTAAACATATAGAAATTAGCCTGGACCTCCACATATTGGCTGAAAATTCAAATATAAAATATAATCTTAATTTCATATTTACCTGGCTTAAAGCTGAACTATGGGCAGGTATAAAAGACACACATTAATGTAGCTTAGTAATTATTTATCCATCATTACATTTCTTTTTAAATGCAAGCACCGTAAGTAACTGTATTTTACCTGGTATCTGCCTTTTGCAGGTTCTGGGACATAGTGTGAGAGGAAGAAGCAGTGCAAGCAGTCAATCAGTGCATGTGCTGACAGGAAGCATGATGATAGGAAGAGAAAACAGTAGGGATGCACCGATATATCAGCCGCCGAACCATATTGTCCGAAAATGGCACTTTTGGATAAATGCCGAAAGTGCAATTTTCCTGCCGATACAGCAGCACATCCCTGGTTTCTTTCCTCCCCGCTGGGCGCTGCTCTGTGTCCCAGCGGGGAGGAGAGAAACTGTCACAGGCGGCCAAGCGCTACGGGAGGAGAGTGCTGTGAGCGGCCGGCGCCTCTCCTCCCACACCGCTCAGCCTCCTGTCACAGTCCGGCAGAGCGGTGTGTGGGCTGTCACAGGAGGCTGAGCTCTCCTCCCTGCAGGAAAGCCAATGCAAACACTCAGCGATCAGTGATCGCTGAGTGTTTGTACATACAAATAAAATATTTGATTTTTTTTAAAAATTTAAATAAAAAACATTTTTGGTTTTGGTGTCGGTTTCGGCCTGACATTTTTTTTATTTCGGTTTTGTTTTTGAAATTTCCATTTCGGTGCACCTCTAGAAAACAGATTGACAGAGAGAGATGAGCTCATCACTGTCCTGCTTCTCCTTTCACTGTCCAGTCACAGGCTGGGGTGAGTCCAGAATGACCTGGGCTCAGAGCAAATGGGTTGAAAGATGCTGGCCATCTGATTAAGGACATCTAAGAAAATGACTGAGGGGTAAATCTCTGAATAGAAGGTGAATATTGCCACAAAAGCTGGTTTTGTTATTGTATCTTTTATTGTGCTATTCATTTTTATCTTGATGGTTTTGGCTGGAGTGCTGCTTTAAAAAAAGGCAAAGGCATTTTTATAAGTTACGTTTCTAGCACCTAACGTTATAATAAATTAAATAAATACAAACACACTACACATTCCCTTTAATATTTTCTAGCCAATTCCTATAGTAAAGGGAGAAATAATTTGTCTGCATACCAAAGCCAGTTACTAGAAAAAAAAAAAATCATGCTTCAGCATGTGACTATCCCATGCTTGGAGCCACGTTACTTGAGATCACATGTCTGGATACTACACTATGACTTCTTTGACACAAGATCAAAGGCTATCACCTGACTGACTGGGGTCTTCCCAGCTAATGATGTATATGGATAGCAACAGGCGAGTTGTTTAAAAATCTTTATCTGAAATTCTATAAAAATCATCAAAATAGACAGAACTGCTATGTATTTATATGCAGAGAGTGAGATAACAAAGATATAGTCACCACATAAAATTCCAATAAAAATATATTCAAAGAGCAGATAAGCAAGTGCATTTATGTTTTTCGTGTTCATACATGTTGTACATTGCTGATATACGTTTATTACAATATTGATCATAAAAAATGTTAGCGTGGAAATTTTCGCTGTAATTTTTGTTATAGTAAACCCGCGTGTAAAACAAAATACTGAAGCTAATAGCACTAATAGTTCGCTGGAAGCATGAACTGTAACCACATATTTGCTACTGAAGAAGAATTCATCCCTTGGTACTTGGACATACTTTTGTGTGGAAGATAATAGTTACGACCAGAGCAGGATTTCTGCATAGCCAATGTAGATTGTTGTTTAGGCGACCAGGACTGCCAGAGGCTGTACAAGGCTACTCACATTATGTTGCTGACCGATTGTAGCACATTCCTGTTTGTAAAGGGTTCAGGCTGCCGTACTGTCCACTGGTGCAGTGCAGCTGGGCCTTCATTGTGGTTCCTATATTTTGTTTGGTGGACTAATATTCTATGCACAAACTGTGAATCTAAGTATGATACTAATGCATTTCTGTTTTTCTTGATTTCAGATGAAATCACACACATGCATGGTTGTGGCAGAGATTGAAGGTGAGAATATCAAAAATATTATTGTTGCATTTAACAGTAAGTAGGGATGAGACTCAAACTCTTTATCCATCCGGAGTTCCTTGAACGGGTGAGCAAAATGGCCAGATTTGGCCTGTCCACCCACCTGTTAAACTTCCAGCTGGGGAAGCTGGAAGTCATGTATTTAGTGGCAGTATGACTACCAATGAATGTGTGGCCCTGGCCAGTGATGTTGTGTGGGCCATAGTGTCATTGGTTGCTGGAATAAAAGGATCTAGTATGAATTTTTAGGGGGAGCCCACACAGTTTTTTTTTATTGCATTAGGTTTCCTCCTCAAAACTCATACCAGATCTTCATTAAGGATAAGGGTCCGCTATGGATTATGAAGGGGGGACCCCACCCCATTTTATTACAAACAGAATCAAGCAGTGAAAGAAATGTAATTTAGTGGCAAATGTTTTTACTTCTTTGTTAATGTGACTTTTGCTGGAGTACGTTATACAGGTGCTATAAAATATTTTACACAGCGCTGTAATGTTAACTAATGTTTCTAGGTATATCTATACCTACCATAAAGTGTTCCAGTAACTTAAAAACATTCAATCACATAAAACAACATATTATAAAGTGCTTCAGTGACTGTGTTATATAAAACTTTCAATACATGATGAACACATATCTATCAATGTGTATATACTGTATCTCCTGTCCAATAACAAAGCGACAAATCCGTCAATGGTGTATAATCCTGCCAATCTATTAAATCTTCTTTCTAATGTGGATTTACTGATACACCACTGTGGTCCCTCCACCTTTCTGCACACACCCGATAGAATGTGACCTTGTAGTACTCATACTATTGTCAGAACTTCACCTCTATGCAGTGGTGGTTGCCTTCAGATTCAAACCAGTATGTCAGATAAGCGAAGCAATTTGTTGACTTTGAATTTGTAGAATCAGCATCTGGAAACCTCAAAATGTTTTAAGTGTTTGACGGGTTGGATGTATTCGTCACTTTGTTGGACTGGAGATAAATACACTAAGATATATATACACTGAGTGGCCAGATTATTATGACCACCTGACGTTTGTAGGCAAATTAGCTATAATTAACTACAATTTCGTGCTGAAGTTGCTAGAGGGCCAGACCATTATAAATAGGGAAGCAGGTTGTTTACCACGACAGTAGAAGTGATTTTTTTCTGACGATATGGGTAAAAAACGCGATTTAACAGCCTTTGAACGTGGATGATTGTTGGCGCTCGGAGCCATGGAGTGAGTATCAGCAAAACAGCAGAATTTGTTAAATGTTCAAGAGCAGCTGTTGTTAAAGTGTTTAACCCCTTCGTGACTGACGACGTACAGTGTACATCGCCAGCATTGAGGCTGTTTAAACAGACTCCCGGCGACTTTTGCCATCACGAGGCGGCCCAACAAAGTCATCTCGTGGCCCAACGAAGTACTGATGGGGTGGTCATAATAATCTGGCCACTCAGTGTATATATTCATCATTTATTGAAAGTCTTATAGAACACAGTCACTGTAGCACTTTATAATATGTTGTTTTATGTGGTTAAATGTTTTTGAGTTAAATGAACACTTTATGGCGGGTTTAGTTATACCTAGAAGCATTCCTTTATAGCGCTGTTTAAATATTTTTTAACATTTAGATACCTTTTTTATAAAGCTCACACAGCTGCTAGACATATCATATACAGTATCTCACAGAAGTGAGTACACCCCTCACATTTTTTTAAATATTTTATTATATCATTTCATGTGACGACACTGAAGAAACGACACTTTGCTACAATGTAAAGTAGTGAGTGTACAGCTTGTATATCAGTGTACATTTGCTGTCCCCTCAAAATAACTCGACACACAGCCATTAATGTCTAAACCGCTGGCAACAAAAGTGAGTACACCCCTAAGTGAAAATGTCCAAATTTGGCCCAAAGTGTCAATATTTTGTGTGGCCACCATTATTTTCCAGCACTGCCTTAACCCTCTTGGGCATGGAGTTCACCAGAGCTTCACAGGTTGCCACTGGAGTCCTCTTCCACTTCTCCATGACGACATCACGAGCTGGTGGATGTTAGAGACCTTGTGCTCCTCCACCTTCCGTTTGTGGATGCCCCACAGATGCTCAATAAGGTTTAGGTCTGGAGACATGCTTGGCAAGTCCATCACCTTTACCCTCAGCTTTTTAGGCAAAGGCAGTGGTCGTCTTGGAGGTTTTGGTGTTTGGGGTTGTTATCATGTTGGAATGCTGCCCTGCGGCCCAGTCTCCGAAGGGAGGGATCATGCTCTGCTTCAGTATGTCACAGTATATATTGGCATTCATGGTTCCTTCAATGAACTGTAGCTCCCCAGTGCCGGCAGCACTCATGCAGCCCCAGACCATGACACTCCCACCACAATGCTTGACTGTAGGCAAGACACACTTGTCTTTGTACTCCTCACCTGGTTGCCGCCACACACGCTTGACACCATCTGAACCAAATAAGTTTATCTTGGTCTCATCAGACCACAGGACATGGTTCCAGTAATCCATGTCCTTAGTCTGCTTGTCTTCAGCAAACTGTTTGCCGGCTTTCTTGTGCATCATCTTTAGAAGAGGCTTCCTTCTGGGATGACAGCCATGCAGACCAATTTGATGCAGTGTGCGGCGTATGGTCTGAGCACTGACAGGCTGACCTCCCACCCCTTCAACCTCTGCAGCAATGCTGGCAGCACTCATTCGTCTATTTCCCAAAGACGACCTCTGGATATGACGCTGAGCACGTGCACTCAACTTCTTTAGTCGACCATGTCGAGGCCTGTTCTGAGTGGAACCTGTCCTGTTAAACTGCTTTATGGTCTTGGCCACCGTGTTGCAGCTCAGTTTCAGGGTCTTGGCAATCTTCTTATAGCCTCGGCCATCTTTATGTAGAACAACAATTCTTTTTTTCAGATCCTCAGAGAGTTCTTTACCATGAGGTGCCATGTTGAACTTCCAGTGACTAGTATGAGAGAATGAGAGCGATACCACCAAATTTAACACACCTGCTCCCATTTGAAACACCTAAGACCTTGTAACACTAACGAGTCACATGACACTGGGGAGGGAAAATGGCTAATTTGTCCCAATTTGGACATTTTCACTTAGTGGTGTTCTCACTTTTGTTGCCAGCGGTTTAGACATTAATGGCTGCGTGTTCAGTTATTTTTTTACAGCAAATGTACACTGATATACAAGCTGTACACTACACTACTTTACATTGTAGCAAAGTGTCATCTCTTCTGTGTCGTCACATGAAATGATATAATAAAATATTTACAAAAATATGAGGGGTGTACTCACTTCTGTGAGATACTGTAGATACATTCATATTTGACCGTGGTCTCCATACCATTTATCTTTACATTATACAGGTGCACCACTTCAAGCGAAAGTTTAGGGCACCCCCAAGCATGTTATTCAAAGGAAATGGGTATTTTTAATGTTTTCCTTTTGAGTCTTATTTAAAAATCTGCTCCCCGCTGAGCAGTATTTCTTTTAAATTTTGTTTCAGTGGTACTTGTCCTCCATGGCACTACCCAGCTACTCATGTCCTTTCTCCCCAAAAGCTTGCAAACTGGTCTTGAAAAAATAACAAGACTTGGCTTCCATAGACTTCAGTCAGGCACTATGTTTGGGGTTTGTAAATGTTTTTAATTGTTCAGTGAATGTCCAGCAAACTGAACACTGCTTGGTCCCCTCACTAAAAGTAAACTGCAGGTAATGAAGTTTTGAAAGAGTTTTATTTACAATGTATACAATGCATAAGGCCGAATGACACCTGAGCATTGCGGTAATGTCTGATACTGCAGCGTGCAAGCAATAGTGTATTAATTCTGAACAGCACCCCAGCCAACTAAGGCAAGGGACTTTGGCTGCAGCTATGGTCTGCTGCGTAGGGAAAAAAGGGTCAGTTCTGGTTTTTAGTGTGCTGGGATTTACTGGCAGCCCATTTAAATGTATAAGCCACTTCAATATAGAAAAAAATAATGGGCTGCCTTAATGCAACTCATATTAACATGCTTCATAATGTGTGAAATAACATACCACAGCACAAGGATTAAGGGGGCCGAAGGGCCATGGAATATTTGTACTGTTTCTTCTTTTTACCATCATTTCCTGTTGCCAATGTGTTAGCAAATGCTTATTACACACCAAGCTGTAGCAAACTAAATAGCATTTAGTAAGGCTTGACATCTACTTTAATCTGTTAGACTTAGGTAATATTGTGCATTTGTTGCTCAAGTGTTTATTCTGTCTTTAGCCCTTTCAATATAAAGCAGGATATAAAGAAGGATTGAGCCGTACTTGCAAAATCAAACATTTACAACAATCAAAAGTGCTAATGTTGTCCCTCTAAAGAAGCCATACTTGGCCATATCCTTGGGTGACTGCCACATCAGGCTAACAATATAGTATGGCCACCCTTACTGGAAAACATTATAATACATCTAAATCTTGTTTTGTCCAGACATCCTTATTTTTCTCTTTTGGAGACCTGGCACACCTTTCAATGATTCTGTGAAAATATCCCATAATCCCTTTTTTAGACACATATTTGATAACTGTTTTAAAAAAAATCACTTTAGTGATGTTTTTGCTCCTAGAAAAAATTGGTGATGAAAGTGAAGTACCATCTGCCTTGTCACAAATGAATATTTATAATTAATGACAAATTAATAAGCTGCAGCTTCATTCAACTAACTGGGTGATTGTTTGCGAGTTACAATAATAGACACTAGACATTATATCCAAAGATGTGCTCCTAATTATTTATTAATACAATAAATCACAATTCAGTCCATATCAAGACGTATAGCTGCACTAAAAGCAGATGAAATGACAACAGAATTCTGTTACAACATATCCAGCAAATGACTCCTCTAGAATTGCTCACCAGTTGTTATGTTATGGGTTCCATACCTGAGCAGGAAAATATTCCTCTACCGGACTTCTATATGACAGCAATAGAGACAAGCA